ACCCGAGCTCTCGGGCGCCGCTGCGGCTGTCGGTTCCTGAGCCGGCCCCGACCGCAGACCACAGACCACAGACCCGCCGCTCAGACGGCCGCACCGATCTTCTCTCCTGGGGAGCCCAGAAGCCGGAAATCGGGGCGATGTGGGGGCCGCGCCCCCTCCGGAGGCTCTGGGGAGGGTCCCCCCGCCTCTTGCAGCTTCTGGGGGCCCAGGCGTCTCTCGGTTTGTGTGACGTCCCTCCCGGCTGTGCCCTAGTCCTGCTCCATGTGTCTCCCTGTCCCTCACCTTCTGGTAAGGACACCGGCCTTAGATGGTGGGGCTCCGCCAGCCCAGCGTGACCGCACGTAGGTCATGCCACCTTCACAGAGGGTCACACTCACAGACGGAGGGAGGGAGGACGTGGCCCCCTCTCCCTGAGGGACAGCATTCCGCCCACCGCAGTGCTCCTCCTAGTCACGCTCTACAGGAAGGTAAACTGAGGCCCGCAAAGGGGAATCCTGTCGTCTGGGGTCACACTGCCCCAGGACCCACACCACTACGTCACAGCCCCCTCACGGGGCCAGGGCTTGGGCGGGGGAGGCTGACCCCCCAGGGCAGCGTGAGGGGCTGGGAGCCGGTGGGTCTGTCTGCAATTGATTGTTGTGGTCGCTATGCGACTGTCCTGTCAGAAGTGACGCCGCTGTAAACCAGAAGGAGAGCCTCCCCTGCGGCTCCGTCCAGACGGTGTTTTCCCGCAGACACACCTGCGGTGAGAGAGCTGGGGACCATGGCGGTGGGGACAGAGACGGGCGGGAAGTGGGGTGGCCCACTACACTCCTGACGCCGGGACGTCGGGTGACGCCCAGGACGGAGCCTCTGCCCGTGGGGGTCCTTGGGCCACGTGTCTGATTGGCTAAGGACAGCAGAGCTGGAACACTCGCTGGTCAGTGACAGCCACCACGGGGGTGCCACCCACGGACCCTGGGAGATTTCTGGGGGTACTTCACCTGTGTGACGCCCAGACAGAAGGAGCTCCACCCACGGGACCCCGCGGATGTGAAGCGGGACATGTCCTGGTCTCTGGGGACCTGCGGGCAGCACGCGGGGTGAGGGATACGGGGTCAGGGGTCAGGAGCCGGGCGTCCCCCCGCCCCAGCCCGGGCTCTGCCTCCCGCGCCCCGTGAGCGCCGGACCTTCGAGAACCCCAGCCCCGCCCTCCCTCTGCCGCCCCCGCTCCCTCAGCGCCCTGCGCCCGGCCTCGCCGCCCTTCCTGCTCCTCAGCGCCTCCCCGCACCCCGCCCCCACCCCGACTCAGCCAGAGGAAGCCAGGGCGGCTCGCCAAGAGTGTTCTAGAAGGCCCTGGGCATTCTGTGAGCCTCTTTCATGACATTGGACCCCTCTTCCAGCCACGTAAAATGAAAAGAAAAGGAAACAGAAAAGAGAAAAAAGAGTTCGTGTACTTAACAATAACCTGCGCTGTCTCCACACCATTTCAAGGTCAAAGCCGCCCAGGAAACAAAAGTCTCCTGGGAGTGAATGTCTCACACACGTTCAACCCAACCCTTTACCAGATTCATCTCTTTGACCAGGAAAATGCACAGCATCCTGAAAACACAGCTTCTCACAGCTGGCTAGGTCCCCTCACCCCGGGAGCTGGGAGCCTGTCACCCACTTTCCCCAGAGCCCAGGGTCTTGGAGAAACTCAGTCTCAGTCCCATCTCCAGAGGTCCGTGTCCTTCTTGAACCCAGGTTCCTTGTGGGGATCTGCCTGAAGACAGAGGGGTGGTCACTGACGCTGATTTCATTCCCACGTGTTGTACAAACTCATTTCCTTTAAGACAACCGCTCGCTGCCCCGCGTGGCCCTGGGACCACCGCTCGTAGGCGCCATCGCCGCTCTTGCTGTCTGCCCTGCACGTCCAGGTGTGGACATCAGAGCCCCAGCTGCTTCCGGACCCCTGGCCCCGCCCAGACTCCTCCGTGTCAGGCCGGCACTGCCCGGTCCTGGTTCCGATGGGCCCGAGTCTCTGCGGACCCTCCCTGATGACGCCTCTTTCATTGCGGCCAAGGTCACAATCTCCTCAATGTTCTTTTTCTCCTCAATTTGACAGCCTCCTTGTATCTGTTTATACTTATTAGGTGGAGCCGCTACGTCTCCCCGGAGTGACAGAGTGGCTTCATGAAGTAGGTGTCCTGTAGGGTCCAGCGGCACAGCCTCCCCGATCACCCAGGCTCTGTACCCGAGCTGCACCCACCGTGTGGGCTGTGTGCCCCTCCCCTGTAGTTGAGCCTTGACCGCTGTTGGCGTGTCCAGGATCAGCCACCGCCTGTGTCCTGTCTGGGGTCACACGGCCTGAGCACAGAGCGATGAGCAGATGGCCGCCTCGGGGACTGGGCTTGGAGGAGCCCGGGCCAGGCCGTGCTGTGACCAAGGCCGCTGCTGCGAGTGCTGGGCCCGGCCCCTTAGCGAGAGGGACGGGCCTCCCTGAAGGCAGAGGTTGGGTGACTGAGAGGATTTAGGAAAATCGGAAGCAGGGGCCAGGCAAGCTATTCCTACGGAAAAGGCACTGAAAGCCGGGGTGGGGTGGGCCTGACAGCTGGGAGGGGCGGGGCCTCGGGGAACCCCCAGGGCGGGGCCAGCCCTGGGCTCCAGGTGGGCGGGGTCTCAGGTGTGGCACCTGCCCGCTGCCTCTGTCAGGGGAGGGCCCATCAAAGGAACAGTGGCTGCTGCCAGCTCCTCTGTCGGGGAGAAAGCAGCCCCCGGGTCTGCCCTGATGCCGGACACGTCAGTTTCTCCCCGTTGTCCCTGTGCCCGTCACTCTGCTCCCTGGCCCTGGAGCTCGGAGAGAGTGAGTCTAAGTGTGTGTGGGGGGGCCCTTTAAAAGCACCCGCCTGGGAATCCAGCAGTTTCTGTCTTCCGCTGTCTCAGTCCCTCTGTTTTTACTGCGAGACTCTACAGAGACTTACTTCCTGGCCCTGGAATCTGGGCGGGGGGCCTGGTGTGGGGCGGGGACCCCTCACTGCTGAATAACGGGGGTGAGACGAGGCCTCCGCCCCCTCCACAGCCTCCGTCTCAGAAGATTGACCAAGTTGTCCTGGGGCACGACCGGCCCCGCTGCCCCGCTCCTGGCCAAGGCCCTTGTTCTCAGCGGAGGCTGCATCGCGGGTCCCCTCGGGACAGCCGCGCCCTCGCTTCCCTCCGGCGGGGAGGGCGGGGCCCGAGCGCACTCCAGGGAGGGGCGGAGCCTCTTCCAGGCCGGGGTTGGGGGGGATATTTACTGGAAATATTGTGCACAAAGTGCATCCTGGGCCCCCCGAGGGTGAGGTGTCCTCGCCCCGTCTCTGCGTGGGGGACGCGGCCCTCCGTGAGGGTGGACATGCCCGTGAGGCTCAGGGTCTGGTGGGGTGTCGGGTGTCCTGTTCCTTCAGTGGCTCCAAAGGGGACGCAGTGACGTGAGATGTTTCCTGCCCGCTGCCTATTTCTGTTAGAAGCAGGCACTTTCGGGGACATTTGAGTCACCTCTCCCAGGTTTCTGAATGTATGGCACTCATCCCCACTGTAGATTAGTGACTGAGTCTGACGTTTTCACAGTCTGAAGCTTATTGAGACGTGTCCTTAGAGCTCAGTACCTGTGAGCACAGCCTTAGCAGGAAGCAGGGTCCCTGCAGACGACCAGGTGGAAGTGGGGTCACCCCAGTGGGGCCTCATCCGGTGTGACGGGCCCTTCTAAGAAGAGATCAGGACACACACACACAGCGACGACCGTGTGGGGACCCAGGGAGGGGACGGCCATCTGCAGCTCAGGAGGGAGATCCCAGGAGGAAGCAGCCCTGTGACACCGGATTGCGGGCTCCGGCCTCCGGGACGGGGCCCCTGAGGGTCGGACCGCGAGGCCCGGCCGTGGGGTTTCCCGCAGACTCGCACAGGGAGGCGCCACACGGAGCACACGGAGAGGACACGTGCTCCTGGGATGGGCACTCGTGACGCGTGTGCATGTCCCTGAGGGCCTCCTGTGACGAAGGTCCTTCGTGGGCCCTGAATTCCCGCGGCCTCCCTGAGCGCCGGCTCTCCCGGCTGCAGACCCGCCCTCCGCGCCGCCTCCCTGGCCTGATGCGGCAGGTCCGGGCCAAAGCCGACGGCGCAGGGATGGCAGAGAGCGGCTGTGAAGGGCGATCATTTCTAGAGTTTATTTCAGAAATGGGTTCCAAGAAGCCAGACAAGGGAATATCGGTCGCATTATGTAGAGAGGCTTTACACGCAGACGTTTCCAGATGTAACACGGCAAACGTTCTCCCCTCGCCCTCTGGACCACCCACCTGGACACACAGCTGTGTCGGACATTTAAGAAGACAGTGAAGTCACCCCATGAGACAACTTTATAGGACATTCCAGGAAAAGCGGGTTCTGCGTTGTTCCCAAAGCCCACGCAAAGCCCAGCCTGTCTAAGGGCCCCGCCCGCTGTAAAGTCACGTTATATCCACACTGACACTAAGGACACGCGTGCGTGGGCTCCAGCAGGAGGACCTGCGTTGGGGTGGGAATCGGTGTCTGACCCCAAGGCTCAGCACGTCCTCATTTAAAGGCGGCACCTCCTCCCTCCCCGTCACCTCAGACGTCACTCCTAACAAAGGGGACGAGGACCCCGTCAGAGTCTTTGTTCACAGTGCGCAGCCGCAGGTCGGAGCCGGGGTTCCTTATGCGAGGTCCTGGGGGTCATTGTATCAAAGCAGCACGCGAGCACCTGTGTCTAGAGCTCATGCTATTGCCTCCTGTGGATCGGTGACCTGTCCTCTTGTCATAGTTCAGGGAGACATGGCCCCTACTGTGTAGAGAAGACGGCACCCAAGGATGGGAGAGTGGAGCGCAGGACCACCCCCAGGGGACAGGCTCACCCGGGAGCAGGAGCCCAGGCCTGGGGTCACAGGGGAGTGACAGGCGGTTCCCATGCGGGGAGGGGGAGGGGCAGGGGCCCTGCTGGGCGGAGTCGGGTCACCTCACAGGCTGACTGCGTCCCTCCTCGCTCCTCACGCTGAACTACTGACGGCCCCGCTGGAAGTGTCCTTTCTCACACTTGACTCCTCCCCCAGCGTCTTCTGGAAAATCTCCCGGAAGTTCCTCCCCTGCCTGCGCCCCCCGATTCTCCCTGCAAAGTAATAGACGAGAGGGTTGGCGCTGCTGTTCACAGAGGCGAGCAGCAGCAGACTTATGAAATACGTCACGTCAGGGAAAGGAATGAAGACTACTGCGATGGGAAGGGGGAAGGCGAACAGGAGGAACAGGACAGTCAGCAGCATGGTGACGTAAAACTTGTCGGGGAGGCGGAGCTGGCGGCTGCACCTGACCTTGATCAGCACAGCCAGAGTGCACAGGACGCTTACAGAAAAAAGAACACAGAGCAAAACAGAATATAATCTGTGCACCAAGCAAGCTCGTAAGTTAGTATCAAAACAGATGAGGAAGTGCACGTTCACTGAGACGGAGAGGACCCAGGCCAGGGAGCACAGCGCGGCGGGCGCGTGCCTGGGAGCGCGCAGCCGGCACCAGATGGGACACAGGGCAGACAGGCAGCGCCCGACGCTGATGGCGGCCAGCAGGCACAGCCCCGCCGTGTAGGACGTGCCTATGAGTATAAACTTGTACTTCCAACCAAACCAGATGCCGTGAAAGGTATCCAATATGATTTCTATAAACCACACTGTCTGACAGAAAAGGTAGAGAAAGTCAGCCAGTGACAAATGGAAGATGAAGACGGTGAAGCCCCCCCACTTGACCGAGAACACGAGGAGGCCGAGGACGAGGCCGTTGCCCACCAGCCCCCCGAGGCAGATGAGGACGCCCAGAGGAGACATGACCTTCAGAGCCCGGATTGTCTCTAAAGAGAAAGTGCCGTTGTAGTAGATAAAGGAGGAAGAGTTGTCCATGGTGGCCAAGGCTGCGCTCCGAGGACCGGCGCAGAGCAAGGACTTTCTGTGAAGAAAAGGTTCAAAGAAACAAGACCTGTGAGCAGATCAGAATGTGGACCCGCCTCGTCCTGCCTCCCCCACATCGTGTGCTGTGTGTGCTCTCATCACGGAAGCGTTGGGACCTGTCACGTGACAGGCGCTGTGCCATCGACGCGGCGGGAGCGGAAGAGCCACACGCCCCACGGTCACGGAGTCCGGTTCCTCAGGACGCAGAGGATGGAACAGGCGGACAAGGACACACAGAGAGGCAGGGAAGGTGGCACCAGATGTGCAGGAGCTGAAAACAGCGCCCGGGACGAGGAGGCCTGACCGAGGGGCGATCCCACGTCCTTGTCGATGGGCGATGGCACTGCCGTCCCCTAGGGCCTGAGCAGAGAGGCCGCCGTGCCCCCACCCTCCCTGCAGCGGGACCGGCTGGGGGCTGCCCCCGCGCCAGGGTGCACCCGGGACAACCCAGGACGGGGATGGTGCCCGGGGCGGGGGAGCCGTCCTCACTCTCAGGGACAGGGAACTGGACGCGGTGGAAGCGTCGCCTGCGCCTGAAAGGTCATCCACGGGCACGTGACCCCCCGTTAGCCCCTCGGAGAGGCGGACGGGCCTGAAGGCAAGAGAGGCTGGAAGGGACCCCGGGGGGTGCCCCCGGCAGCCGTGGCCGCACACGCCTGCTCGCTAACGAGCAAGTTAATGCAGTGTCTGGTGTTATAGAAAAGGGCACCAAAAATGCCCTTTTTCACACATGGGTACATGGTGACTCTCAGTGACAAACAGACTGAATCAGGGAGGTGGCAACTCGGTGGCTCTAACTGAGGCAGGTGGCCCTGGGACGTCTGGAACCTTCTTTAGGAGAGTGCCACAGCCCAAGTCCCTGGGGGGAGCCAACAGCCACATCCAAGTGTCCCTGCAGGAACTTGGCAGGGCGTCTGGTGGCAGAGGGTCACCCTGTGCTCAGGATGTCTTGGGAATTCAGTCTCGAGCATGTCTCTTAACCTTTTTAACCGGGTTGACGACGGCGTCGGTGGCGGCGGTGGGCGTGGCCCCCGAGAAGCCTTGCCAGACTGTCTTCCCGATAGTCTCGCTGTGCGGCACACACCGCCCATGCGCTGTGTGTGTTGCCATGTTATATGCATTTTGTGCTCCACGCCGACAAGAGTCAGCGTTAACCCTCACCTACAAACACCGGTGTCTGCCCCTGGGGGTGACGTCACCACTGAGAATGCGCGTCATAAACACACCGCTTCCTGTCCCGCACGTCCCAGCCAGACTCCTCACTGTCCTGAGGCTGCCCGTTCTGTGAGTGCAAGAGAAGCCTGTCGCGTGTGCGGACGGCCAGCGCGTGCCGGGGAGGGAACCGCGCGTTCTCCCCAGCGCCGCTCCTTCGGGGCGGGGGCGGGGCAGCGTCAGGGCACCCCAGGCACGCGGGCGTGGCCCTGGCCGGTGTTCTCGGCTGTTGGAGGGACACCCGGTCACTGAAAGGCTGCAAGTGGATCCCCAGTCGGGGCACATACCGCGGTGGGGGTTCGATCCCTGGTCTGGGGATGTGACTTCCGGTCCCGGATCCGGGCGAGTACGGGAGGCAGCCAGTCGATGCTTCTCCCTCACATCGATGCGTCTCTCTCTCCCATCTCTCTCTACTCCTCTCACTCTAAAAAGATATTTTAAAAAATATCCTTGGTAAGAATAAAACATGTTTTTTTATCCTTAATCCAAGGACATTTCTGGAAAGGAATTTAAAAATTGTTTTATCCATATCCAGGGACATTTTTTTAATTAAGCACATCTCTGGGAGGTCGTGCCTCATGACTCAAGTTAACCCTTCCAGGTTTCACGGTCATGAGCCTTCAGGTCTTCGTTCTGAAAACCAGCGAGGGCCAGGTCTCCATTCCAGGAACGCCCGGGGCAATTCCACCCCGGCCGGCCGTCACCTCGGCCACAGGACGGCTCCGCCCCGAGGCTGATGTCCATGGTCTTGGCCATCGGTCCTCAGAACAAGCACCTCAGGCTGGGGAGCAGCAGGGAGCGAGGGTCCCCGTACAGGAAGGGAGGACGTGCGGGACGGGCAGGGGACAGCGAGCGCAGAAGGGTGACGCCGATGCCTTACCTTCCGCCTTCTCGCCTCCTGGAAGCCCGTGCCGCCCCGGGGAGCCGGGAGCAATCCTGGGAGAGGGGTGCAGGGGCTCCCGCGGGTGGCCGTGTCCCCGGCTGGCGGGGACGAATCCTGACCACGGCCCTGGAGGAGGCTGAGGCGGGACCAGGAGCCCGCAGGGTGCGGCCGCCCCTTTTATGCGGGGCCGCGCCTGGGCTGAGACTCCTAATGGGACCGAGAGCCGAGGGAGGCCGCTCCCAGGGACACGTGGGAGGCGCCGCGCGGTCTCTGCCCGGAAGCCCACCCGGGACCGCAGGGCCGAGGCACCTGGATGCGGAGCCTGCTCCCCCGTGATGGGCGGCCCCGGGTGGTGAATATTGCATGAGCCCCATGAGCCCATCCTCGCCGACCCGCGTGAAAGGCCTGTTTCCTGGGCTTGCGCCGGCCTCAGCGTTTCGTCACTTTATGGGAGTTCACTCCGCCTGGTCCATGCTTGCTGGTCTCATCCAGGAACGTGGCACCTGTGACGGACGGGGCGACCCTCCTCTGCCTCCCCGCCCGCAGCGGCCGGGCCCCGGGCCCCAGGCCCCGGGCGGGGACCTGGCCGGGCTGGTCCCAGGGGCACAGGCTGCGTGTTAAACGCTGAAGTGTGAGCAACGCCCACGTCAGCCCAGCATGCAGAGGACCAGGTGACAAACCACGTCTCGATGACTGAGAGACGCATCCGGGGGCGTGCAAGGGTCTGGTCCTCACACGGGGCGCCCCCATGAGGGTCTGCGCGGGATGCCCCTTTGTTTAATTCCGGGAGAGCCCATGGGCCCTGAGACTGAGGGTGCTCCAGATCCGGCTCCTCTTCTCAGCTGCTCAGAGCCCCTCACAGGGCGACCTGGACACCAGGCCCCGTCCGTCCTCCGTCTGAGAAGCCGGGGGAGCCCTCGGCCAAAGGCCTTGTGGGCGATGAGCCCTTTGAGCTGGTCAAGGCCGGGGGCCGCTTGGGGAAGACCCTGACGCTGGGGATCCTTCCCGGGGTGGCCTCGCCCACAGCTCTGCTCCACTGCCACCCCAGGGAGCGGGGGAGGGGGCGCCCCTGCCCTCGGCCCTCACTTCCCCCTGGGACTGCCACCCGAGCAGTGATTCTCAGGACGTGGCCCCCAGGCCCTTTCCTGGGGAGGGGAGGTCAGCGTCCCCGCCCTATAAGACTCACACGTTACTCAGATGAATTAATCAGGAAACAAGTGCAGGTTCTGAGCTACAGTTCTCACCACAGGAACCGTCGAGAGGGACAGCCACACCAACAAGCGTTTCCTGGGCGGTTCCGCGACTGAAGGCTGAGAGCGGCCCCTCTACGTGAAGACCAGGATTGCTCCCGGCTCCCCGGGGCCCCCCGTTCCCCTCAGCCCTGCCGCCCAGGGGAGAAGCGGTGGAAGATGGGGAGGCGGGAGAAGGGCCCCTTCGCCATGGGTCGTGTCTCCCCTCCCCCACCCGCTTCCCTGACGTATTTGTTTATTTATTTTTAAATTGCTATAATATATAGCAATTTATTAATATTAGAAACACTATGAATGCCTTCTACTTATTTAGTACCAATATTCAACTCCTTTTTTCCTCCGTAACCATTCTCTTTATTCACACATAAATGTAGCTAGCAGGTTAAAAAACTTTCACCGGAAACGCGTATGTTTCTTAACTTTGTTATCTGTTCATTTTTATCTATAAATATGCTGTAACTGTAAAGGGGGGTGTCATAAAAACAAAAGTGTCCCCGGGTCTGCTTTCCAGTCTGGTAGCTCTTAGAACACTACTTGGCATCTGAAAGCAATATTTGTTGGGGAAATTGCTTAAATAACTTCTTAGCCTGAGCTAACCAGGGGACACGTCAAGGACATCAACTGTGTAGCTGCTTCCTCTTAGGCTAAAACGCGCAGCGATGCTGCGAACCCCTAGGCTGCTCTCCATGGAGACCCGCGATCCTGGTCCCCAGAATGGCTGGGGAGGACACAGCACTGGAGCGGAGCCGGCGCATTCAGTCCTGCTCACTCCTGTCGGAGTCCCCGCCTCCTTGTCACTTAGAACGTTTGTGGCGGGGATCCTTGTTGAAGCGATGACAGTGTCCCCTGCTGAGCAGATGTGCCTGACGAACTGGCGGCTCCCAGAAATCCTTGGCGACCTTGTAGGGGACTGACTGATAGGGCCTCCAAGTAAAATGTAGAATGCCCAGTTAAATCTGAATTTCGGGAAACAGTGAATTTTGTTTTGGTATACCTATGTCCGATGCAATATTTGGGACCTAATTATAGTAAACAATCAGTCGTTGTTTAATGGGACATATTTATATTTCAAAGTTAGTTGTTGTTAATCTGAATTTCACACTCTATTGGATGTTACGTGTTGATGTTCACTAAATCTGGCAGCCCTGGGCCAGCAGGAAAGGACAGAAATACCGTGAGGTACGCATGACTGCTGTTCCTGATTCAGCGGGCTCTTGAGGACAGCGGGTCAGTCTTCTCGAGAACCGCCTGCAGACCTCAAAGCATCCTTCAGAGGGCGCTGCGGGAAGTGCAAGGTCCGTGCTGGCTCTTCCCGCGTAGACACCAGGCTGTGTGAATGTGGGCCGCGGACGTCGGAATAAGGAACATCTCGGACTTCCTTGAGCCAGATACAACTGCCGACCTGGGACACCGGAAATCATCATTCTAATTTCCAAGGTCACCTGGTATCTTTTGCTTCCAAACCTTTTGGAAAATAGTTGGGTTTGGATGGAGGATGGTCTTACCTCTTGTTTATAATGACCAGAAATCAATGCAGAGGGTCTTTCTGATGGATGGGGGTTGTAGCACTTAAGGAACGCCTGAGCTTTACAGGCGGAAACGCTTTC